TGGTTTATAACATAGATAAGTTTTTGGAGGGGCTGCTGGGTGGCTGTAGGGTGGTTGGGGAGGTGCTGCAACTTTGGACTGAAATGCCCCTCAATAAGTATTAGAAATTGGGAATTGTCCTTAAATTGGTTCAAATTGAAACCATAGGGACAAAAGTGATAAAATTGAAACCACAGCGACCTTAGTGGTAAAAATGATAAATCACAAGAACCTAAAATGACTTTTTGCCTATGCAGTTTATATGATACATTGGCTAGCTGATGCTGACTTTCCATGCAAAACAGGAAGCACGAGCAGTGCCAAATGTGTTAAACGTTGCCTTATTTTTGGAGTTTATTTTCTTTCACATTTTCTCTGACGTTTGGAGTTGCTGTGGAAATCCCTCAACACCAGAAAATGTAAATAGTATAATTTTGAGGCTGCTTATTCATGTGAGTCAAGAATATAGGTTCAGCGGGAGCAAAATCTAGTTGGATAGGGTCTCAGAAAATTTCAGTGATTTGCTGCAAGAAAAATCTAACTGAAACTTCGGTTTTTGTCATGATCCTCTGGTTTAATCCTTCTTTTTTTCTCGCTGTTATAATAATATGTAAATGCAGCTCTTACCATCTCTTCTACAAACACATACGCAACCAAGGCAAGCATATTTTCCACCCCACCCCACATAACACTTTTAAATATATATAATTTTGAATTATATTCTGTCAATGTTTTGCGTCTCTTTCTTTCATTACAAAATATATAGAATTATAGAAAACTGAAGAAAGATTTTACCTATTGTACTCAAAAAATAAATAAATAAGCACTCGATTTCTTTCTATATTTCTTATCAAATAAGTTTTCCCTTTCATGTGAGATTTGTTGGATCTTCATCAGCAAAGGAATCCCAAATGTATCAAGTCCAACCAAATGACTTCAATCAATTTGATAACATATGTGCCATTTGATCGTTGACCAAAAACATCTTGACTGATCTATCAAAGACTTCCCATGACCAAACATTACGAATTTGGACAAGTCAAAACAAAGAAAAATATAAATTTAGCAGCTTTGATGGATACCAGGAATGGATATGAACTGAGTCAAACACTTTTACTTACTGTGAACAAGCAATTCATAACATTATGATCATGAACAAACAAACACCATACAATAAGAGCTAGCGAAGCCGAAATGTAATAAAACTTACGAGTTAATTTATTCTGCAGTAAGTCCAAACTCATGGAAATTTAAAAAGAACAAAAATGAGAAATTAAAAAAATTCCAAACACAAAAAAATAAGGAAAAGAAAATCCAACAATTATCAAACGCAGAAGCCAAATAACCAATCTAATCAAACCAACTAAAACTAAATTTAACCCCAAACGAAGCACACGTCTTACACATCAATAATTATCTGCTCATCTTGTTTTTCAGCTCATATTGTGATTCACAATGTGAAAAGTGAAAAAGAAAAAGGTTTTGACAGTGCATGTGATAATTTCCTATATTTGCTTTCAGTGGGAAGCATAATAATTGATCAAGAAAGTCCAAAAAACATATAACTAAGGAATGAGCAACAAAGGTAATCTTTACCAAGAACAAAACATTTCAAACAAATAGAACCACGTATAATCACATTGGCAATGCTGGTTATCTAAACATAGAAATTAGCTGAGCATAAGCTGCACAGAAATTTCTCATATTGAAATAAAATTCCAAGACATCTATCAAACTCCTCACCCTTTGGCTTAATTGAACCCAACTCCCCTTTTGTCTGACCCTAACCCAGTCAAAATTGAACCCCAAATCCATCTCAAATTGAACCAAAATCAAAGAAAGCAAGTTGGAAGTGACCCAAACTCCAGAGAAAGAGAATGTTTATATTCTTTAGATTCCTGTGCAAATTACAGAATTTTCATTGAGCTAGAAGCAAGTTTAATTTGTTTTAACATAGAAAAAAGATAGGAACAAAACTTCAAGCTACCTTCCCAAAAAAATCAGTAGATGTTAAGATTTGGAACATGATATCCAATCTTACTTTATTTATCAACAATGTTAATTCACGGAAACTTAAGGAGAATAGAGAAGATAATGATTGTAAAAGGTTGAAAGTTATGATCTTCCATCTACAACATTTACTCAAAGCACTGGGGAAGATCAATAGCAGCAAGAAACACTGAAAATATTCAAGGAATGCCAAGTTTCTCTACAAATACTAATACTTCAAGGGATTACACTTAATTACATCGATGACAACAAAATTATGCAAACAATGTTGAACAAAAAAATCTGCCTAGATCCTATTATCACAGTCAAATAGAAAATGAAACCAAACATTCAGAATTTTTTTTTTGAAACAGACGGAAAACAACTTGGAATTACAAGACCAACCACAAACAGCAAACCAAGTTTCAAATTGATTGAATCTGATTGAACCTTCATTTTATCTTTGAGGAACATGAATTGGTGTAAAGGTAGAAGTGACTTCTTATGTTGATTTGGTTCATTATGTTTTTATTTTGACCACAGCAAAGAACCCTGACGATTACCCAAAAAGAAAAACTAAAAAAGAAAATGCAAAGAACCTACAAAGATCGCCGCAGTTATAATCAGAACACTATATGATAAAGTTACCATCGTCACCACCAAATGATGTTTGTCTAAGAGAAAAAATCTGAACACACATGGATACCCTAACCCTTTATCTGAGAGAGAAACGCTAATCCAGTCAAAATTGAACCCCAAATCGATCACAAATTGAACAACAAAGAAAACAAGTTGGAGTCAAACATTGAATCCAATAATCACAGAGAGAAAAGGAAAGGGATAAGAAGTTCTACCGTCGTTGGCGTCGTTCCTCGTTCGTTCGTGGTTCATCGGCGTTCGTCGTGGCTCGTCGGTGATGGTCTTGGCTCGTCGGCGTTGGTGGTGGCTCGTCGGAGTTGGTCGTGGTTCGCGTTGGAGGTTCGAGCGTGAGAATTTCCAAATAACGTGTAAACAGGCTTTACTTCAAGTAGGGATTTGGGCTTTACAAAATCTCTCCATCGAATCCCAAGGATTTTTGAAGTTCCTCTTAGTGGGCTTTCCAAACTAGGTATTTAGGCCCTAGGGATTTGTAAATTCCATAGCAACCCAAATCCCTCGACCAAATCACTCATTCAAACAGGCCCAGAGATCCATAATCTCAGGCAAACTACGCTCAGAGCAAAACCAGAGGTCCTCCTCCTCGTCTCTGACGGCCCAGAGATCCACAACCTCATTGACAACAAATTCCTCCTCCTGCGCAATCCGTTTCCAGCCCTCAGTTAAAAGCATGGCAACGGTTTCAAGATGGAGGATGTAGTTTCAAAGAGTTTTTTTATTTAAACTACACACTTTTCTTTGTTTATTTTAATACTTCAATCATTAACCTTAAGTTTTATTGTTGTGTAAAAAAACAAAAAAAAACAAAATTGTCATCCAACTTAATACTCAACCCTACTACATCTATACACACACCCCACGCGCCCAACCACTCTTCGTATTAAGGTTTAGAAAAAACATCAAACTCCTCTACTTGCCCATTCAATTAGTTGAAAATTTCAAATGTGAAATCTCATATCAAGTCTTCCTGCTATAAATTTAATGATGCAGAAAGTGTAATTAAGACCTAGATTTCAATCCTATATAGCAGGAACAAGAACATGGCCCAGGAGATTTCAATCCTCAAGAAGGAAACCATAAAACCATCTTCTCCAACTCCTCACAAACTTAAAAGCTTCGAGCTCTGCCTTTTGGATCAGCTTACTCCTGTAGGATATATGGCCCTCATGTTCTTTGCTACCCCACCAATGAGGTTACAACTTACAACAGAGAAAATATATCAGCAGCTAAAGAAATCACTCTCAGAAGCCTTAACTAGCTTCTACGTACCCACTTGCTGGAAGAATCAAAGATAACGTCTTTATTGAATGCGATGATGAGGGGGTTATCTATGTTGAAGCTCGAGTCAACGCCTTTATCTCAACCTTCCTTGACCCACCCAATTTCGACATACAAAAATCATGCCTCCACATTGAGATTGGATCCCCTGAAGCAGCCACAGGGATGCTACATTTCTTTGAGTGTGGTGGATTGGCAATAGGTGTTTGCGTGTCACACAAGCTTGCTGATGTGCCAACTTTGGGCACATTCATCAAAGCTTGGAAGTGCGCAGAGACCTATAAGAGTTGAAGCTGCCACTAGCCTCATTTGGAGTTGTGCAATGAATGCATCAAAACTAAGTTCAGGGTTTTCAAAGTCATCAATGGTGTCACATTCTGTAAATATACGCAAACGGGTTGTGCCACCATTGCCACCAACCTCAGTTGGGAACCTTGTGGGCTACTACGCTGCAATGGTGGAGGAGAGTGGGATTGAGTTGAAGGAATTAGTTTCTCGACTGCGGAAGGGATGGTTGAATTGAATTTAATAAAAACCATCCCAAGAGATTGAAAGGGGACAATGTGTTTGAAGCCATTTGTTAGTATTTTAAGGAGATAGGAAATATTATGAGTGGAGATGACATAAACTTCTTTATCCGTACAACTGCATGCACCTTTGGAATGTAGGAGATTGATTTTGGGTGGGGAAAGCCAATTTGGGTGAGCAAACCTGGTGATATACTCAAGAATGTTGCTACTTTGATTGACACGAAGGAGGGTGATGGAGTGGATGCATGGGTAAGTTAAGTGAGGAAGACATGGCCTTATTTGAACGTGAACCGGAACTTCTTGCTTTCACTTCTTTAAATCCAAGTGTATTTGGACCTGTAACAAGGAGATCTTCTCTTTAGTTTCTTAGGATTTATTTGGTGTTTTTGCTGGTTTTTCTCTTCTTCTTTTGGGATAAGAATTTTGTGTATTTATGTAGTTTGAAATTGAATAAAATGCAACTCTGCAATGCCAAGGAACTCTACACTTGATGGCATAAGTAAACTGTTTAAGCTAATGGCACGTACAAAACACTATTTTAAGAGATTTGCCAAAGATGCTTTACTTTTCAATGGAAAATGAAGACAGAGTATTAGCAATACCCTATGAATAATTATAAAACCTTGAAAATGCTACATTAGTCGGAATTTAATACATTTCCTAAATTTAAACAATTCCATCGTGAATGCAAAATGCATATGTACAACCAGATATGCGTTGGGTTTATTTTAGCCATCAACTTCTTCTCGAGCCAGCTTCAGGCATCCCTTTACAACTAGAGAAATGAATTACCACTTTGTTCTACAATCCCATTATTCTAGGACTTCAATCTTCATGAAACGAGCTCCATGAAATGGCTCTCACGTTTTACTGGAAGTGGTACAGTAACATCATCAGGTCTAATAGACATGTTTCCAAGTTTGTTGCCTTACTTCTGAAGTCGACAGGTAGGGGTAGAAACTGATCTTGCCTTACTTCTGAAGTCGCCAGCAGTTACTCTGTTGTCTGAGCCATCCAAGAAGTAACTTCTTCAGGAGTTTCAACTTCTATCAGTTGTGCACCTGACCTTTTTTTATAGCACTTCCTTTGATTTTGCAGAATCTCATCCTTCGCTCATAAACTTAAACATTTGGGATGTCACATGACAACTTGAACCAAGTGCAACATCATTCATAGCACCTCTACTTCCACATCCTATATTCATGAACATTATGCACCGCGGAAATGTCTACTCATAAATTCCTGAGCCTTTAGGCATCCATGTATTTTATGTTCAACCAAGGAAAATCTCTATTTTCTGATTGGGAGGAAAAAGAATTGTTCGATAGGACCGAACCCCTCAAACTGAAGCCATATCTGATCAAACAACATGGGATCATGCCCCTTGCATGGATCAGCATGATAACCCGACATAGGACTGTGCAGAAAGAGTATGAATTCTAAACAGTGATTGAAGTAATTGAGGTTCATGCACATTCTGTACCAAATATTTAAGAAGGATCTCTATAGTAGTTGCTCATGGAAGATCTCCTCAAGAATTCCGCCACCAATTTGGAGAATGCAGAGGAACTATCGTCAAGTAACCGAGTTGGAGAATCATACTCTAAAACCTTGCCTGTATTAATCAAAAGTTAATAAAATCAGTTCAATTCATGTCACCTAAGCAATTTTAAGTTTTTCAATTAACCGTAAATGTTATTTCAGATTTTTCTTTGCCACTAGATCCAGGTTTCAATATTAATATGCTTCAACTATACTATCTGCTAAAGTGGAATGTTCTATCCATTTTGGAACATATCTACAAAGCAGGTTATACTAACAATACCTTCACCAAGAACTAGAACCAGGTCATTGTCGATAACCGTAGGAATCCGGTGAGCCACAGTGATCACTGTGCATCCACTCGTTTCTTTCCTTATTGTCTCCTGAATTAGAATATCGGTTGCGGTATCAATAGAAGCTGTAGCCTCATCCAACACAAGAATTTTCCTTTTCTTTAAGAGCACTCTGGCGAGGCAAACAAGCTGCCTCTGTCCAACACTCCAGTTTTCTCCATCTTCAGCCACTGTTACAGTGTTTGAACCAATTAAACAAGTTGGTAAATGAGACAAAAAATAATAACTGAACTTCTTTGGTTGCTTATATATTGAGTGGATTTTTTTATCTTCATACCAGGTGCATCAAGAAGCCTTTGATCCTGCCTAACAATCTCTGCCAGTCGACATTGATTCAGAACCTGAGTTATTGAATCATATAAGTAACATTACCACAATATCATTCTTGTAAATAAAGGCTTTGACCCTAACCTCCCAGAGTTCTTGATCAGAATGCTGTTGCAAAGGATCCAGATTGGTCCTCATGGTACCTTGAAATAAAATTGGGTCTTGTGGAATAATGCTCAACCTTGACCTTAAGTCCTGCAGGCCTATTTTAGAAATATCCACACCGTCAATAAGAATCTGCCCTCCTGAGGGTTCCACAATCCTAAAGAGAGCTTGGATCAAAGTGGACTTTCCACTCCCTGTCCTGCCCACAACTCCTATTTTCTTCCCTCCAGGGAAAGTGCAAGTGATCCCTTTGAGAACAGTCGGGAGAGCTGGATTATATTGCACATGAATGTTTTCAAGTTCAATTTTTCCTGCCATTGGCCATTCAGGAACTGGTCTACAGTCTTCAATCACCAGTGGTGCTTCACTTGGTATATGTGTGAACTGAAGAATTCTCTCAACTGATATCATTTTGTTTTCTACATTACACATATTCCATATCACCCAAGCCTGCAGGACATTTAGGTTTAAACCATAGGTAGCAGCCAATCCTGCCAAACCTGAGACCAAAGCAACATAGACAGTTAACTTTTAAAGCTTATGGTGATCATAATCATATTACCTCATATTTCATCGGGGATTGGAGGGGCTTACTAGGATCAATAGCAGACCTAGGCAGGCTGACCAAGATGATAAGAAGAAGGAAGAAAACAAGGTTGAACAGAAAATTGGTCCGAACAGACAGCCATTCCATCGTGGCATAATTGTGAAAGGCGACTCGGGAATAATCATCAATCAGGTCCATTGTTTTCATCAAAAAACGGTCTCCTTGATTGAAACAACGAAGTGTTCCTGCACCTGTGATTGATTCTGAAAAGTGATGTAGAATTGGAGCCTTTCGAATTCCAACCATTCGGGCGAGTTCTCTGGCTGTGGTAATGTAATAAGCCTGCAAAAAATATAAAACAAGATAAATACCGGTGCACCAAAGTACTTAAATATGAGCTCGAAGAAACATTAACTTTCTCATTATGAAAAAAACAATAACCCATAATATTCTTTACAATGTGTGATGCACGTAGGGAAATATGGTTTAGATTTCCTTGTAGGTAGGAGTTTGGTTAAAATAAAAAACATGGAAAAATAAATTCGAAATGGGGTTTTTCTTACTTGATACCACATGGAGAGTGCAAGAACGCCAAGGAAAAGAATGAAGACTTGCCAGGCCACTTGAGACATAAGGATGATGATGCTTATTAGCTGGATGAGGGCAAATGCCAATCCAGCTATTCTATATGGAATATCCATGTCTACTGTGCTTTGATCCGTAGAACACTGTAACCATTGTAATTTTTTCAGAAAGAAAAATAAGAGTTAACTAGTTGAACTTGACATATACTTCACAGAGTTAAAATTTATTAAACTTTCAAACAGGAAAGAAATTTAGAACTGACCCTATTTAGGATTCGACTAGAAGGCGTGGAGTCGAAAAATGAAATTGGTGCCCGGAAAACTGAAGTAATCATTCCAAGGAAGAGACGCTGAGCAGTCTGAATAGCAATAGTTGACAGAAAAAGTGCCCTTCCCAGAATGAAGATGGAACTCCCAGCAGATAACAGAGCAAATACCCACATCAACCTCTCTTTGCTTCTTTCTCTGTTGCCCAAGCAATCCAGTAATTGCTCCCCATTTGTAGTCCCTGGAAGAAGACTTGACAGAGAAGGATGACCGGAACAAGAGCACCTCTACAAGCAGAAGTGACAAAGGTTGAGTAAACACGCCATTTCACTCGACCAGTTTCTGCCTCTTCTTCGTTACTTTTTCCTGAAAGCTTCCCATTGTTGATGGCCTCTTTTTCTTCTAAAACCTCTATTAGATTAACTTGATGAGGTCTTCTATTAAAGGAATCATCTTGTTGGCATGTGTTAACTTGGTCAAATGATTTTTTATGCGCCGACATTTGTCTGACAAGTTCACTGTTGGGATCCGCAATCAAATCCTCATATTTTCCAGACTCAGCAATTTGACCATCTTTAATTACCTATTGACAATAGAATTGGACTGGAGAAATAAGAGACTTGCAAAACACGTTAGTATCTGAGTAGGGCAGCAAAAGAAATCCAATAACTTACCAAGACAAGGTCAGCTGCTTCTAAAAATTCTAATTGGTGGGTAGCGTAGATGACAGTCTTCATGGACAAGTGTTGTAAGAGACATTTCTGCAAAACATTCTAATTTCTGATTAAATCCATTTTAAGACATGAACACAAATATAGAAGTACATGAACACAATTTCTGATTAAAATGATAAGAAATTTGGCTTGCCTTAAACAAGTGTGTTCCTGTATGTGCATCCACAGCACTGAAAGGATCGTCCAAAATGTAAACATCTGAATCACTATAGACAGCTCTAGCCAGTTGAATTCTTTGCTTTTCTCCACCACTTAGGTTCATCCCTCTCTCCCCCACTACAGTCAAATCCCCATCTTCCCACGTATTGACATCATGATCCAAAGCACAAATTTCCAAAACATACTCATAACAGCCCTCATTCATTTCCTTGCCAAACAACACATTCTCCCTTATTGTTCCAGTTTGAATCCAAGCACTTTGTGGAACATAAGCTTTTGTTCCATAAACCTTCGCTCCTGCCCCAGAAATTTTGGGAATCTCACCAAGTATACTAAGTAGTAGGCTTGACTTGCCAGAACCAACAGAGCCACAAACTGCGACCTTGGATCCTTTCATTATCTCTATCTTCTCTGTAACTTTGATTGTAGGTTTCTTAAAGTCTTGCTCGGTTGTTATCCATGCATACTCTCCTGCGTCAAGAACAACCATGACATCGGATACTTTTGAAGTATGGCAAGGAATCAGCTTCATTTGATCATCTTTGACAAATTCTTGGATACGATCAATAGATACCTTTGTCTGAGTAATCATGGAAATGAGCTCTGGCAGGTTGTAGATAGGCTCTTGTAGAATTCTAAACGTAGCTAAAGCAGACAATACCCTACCTACTGTTAACGGTGTATTTAGTCTTATGCATACACCAAAAGTGGTAACTGAGACTAGAGTTGGTGAAGCCCAGAAGAGAAAGGCCACTGCTGAGCATGTATAAAGGTATCTCTTCAGCCAATGCCTCTCTGTTTCCCTGAGTTGAAGCAGCTTCTTCAAGAATGTGGGCTCCCATGAGTGCAACTTTAGAACTCTCATGCTCTTCAGAATCTCTGATGTTACTTTGATTCTTGAATCGTTCGCTTCCATGATCTTGGAGTGAAGCCGTTCTTGCATATTGGCCAAAGGTGTGTTGCATACCATGATCAAAACTGTGGAAAGAAGAGCAGCAGCAGAGGGCGCCGCACCAAGATTCCTGTAAAGGATAGCCAGTGCCAAAACTACTTGAAGTGGGAGCAACCAAATACCATGAATGTACCAGCAGAAGTCTCCAATTCTTTCTACATCCACATTGATTAAATTAATAATTTTTCCATTGCTTGGACCAGAATACTTTATGGAAATAGATTTCTTGTAAATCAACACAGTGAGAGCTGCTCGTACTCGTACACCAATGAGGTGAGCACCAAAATACCACTGCCTCTGACTCAATGATTCCAATGTCTTAGCAATGAAGAATATGAACGCAAGAATCAACCCATGGTGGATGCTTGAATTGTCATTCTTTTCAAGCAAATAATTTACAAAATTTGTAATTAGGAAAGGACCTATATATGTTGCAGCCGTATTGGCTCCTACAAAAAAAATTGAAAAAAGGCATATAAAAACATGCACGACAAAACTGAAAATGAAAAGGAAAAGGAAAAGTGATTCAATAACGAAGAGTTACCTGCAAAAACAGCATTTATGGCTAATGATCTTCGTATAGCCCGCATTATGGATTTTGGCAAAGAAGAATCTTCCATTTTCTGTTTCCTCAGTGACTCATCAAGCACATAGGAAGCATTTTCTGCTCTTTCTGAGGGAGGAACATGTGGAATATGAGGTAGTTCCAGTTTCTGGATTCGACCCCTTTTGAAAAGTGGGTTCAGCCATTGAAATGTAGCCTTGCTCCAAATTCCGGCTTTCGTGTAAGTATCAGTGTTTTGGGGGGGAGTTTCATCTTCCTTCTCAAGTAATGGGTGCTTAAGGTCATTTTTTTCCTGGGCAGCACATCTAAAGGCATTGAAGAAAAGTAGTACTGACAGAGGAAAGGAAGCAAATTCAACTATGTTAGCCTTGGGAAGAATATCTGGGAAATCTATGGATCTGAAGTGAGTAATCAGGTAAAGGCACAGAGAAAGTGAGTAAAAACTGCAGGAAAAGATCCACCAAATAATGAGGACCCAAGGCCACCTATTTTGCTCACTGAGAATTGTGTTCTTGGAGTAGACTGTAATTGGTGTGGCTAAAACCCAAGTCATGCCAGAGAAGATTGATTTACAACTTATAATTCCACCACCAACCCAATACTCATAAATGCCAAAACCAAGGTAAAAAGTTGAGATTAAGGCATTTGCAAGAATGGTAAGCAAAGCAAGAACTTTACATCCTCTGTCTGCTCTATGTATCAAACATGTACGATTGCTACCACCACCTCTTCTTCGTCTCATAATATCCAGCAAAACCCACGTCAATAAACCTATGAAAAACGCTACACTAACAATCTCCAGCGATATATCCATGGAGAGCAGCTATAAATTCTAAAACTTTCAGAGTCAAATTCGTTCTGGACCAATCTAGAACCGAAAGATGTCCAAAAATAAACTACGTACAGAGAGAGTTGAATCAACGACGAGACCTGCGTATAAAAACGTCAATGGGATAAGAACAATGGCAACCCAATTCAGATAAGCACTGAAAAAATTAAACCCAACCCAATTGCCGTTGAAATATCGCAGCAGCAGCAAACAAGAATTTGGGAATATATATATATATATATATATATAAATTGAGAAAAAACAAAATAACTGGCTAAGAGCAGGGTCGTTTATACAGAAGCAAACCTGTGAATGTATGAAGGACGCACGTGGCTCTTCGGTGCGGGGAGGTGACAAGAAAGTATCAAATGTAGGTGAATGATTCAATCAAACGCCTAGTGGCTGTGTCTATGCACTGTGCACAGTCCTTTGGCTTCTTATAAAGAAGAAGAACCAGCACTGAGGGACGTAATAAGCGTGCCCAAGTTGGAATCTTTACGTTGCTATTTATAATTGGAACAATGTACCCACCATTCCCCCTCATTTTACAAAATTAAAATAATATAGGCATATATATATTTTATTTTTTTAGATGGAATGAACAAAAATTATATCATACTATAAAATGAAGGAACCATCCACGTCTTACAATCTTTGTCCCACACCCTGCATCTCTATCCCTTTCAGCCCTATGAGAAATTGTTATTTATTTATTAGATAAAATAAAATAATCATTAGTTTCTGTAGAATATCAAATGGGACCAGCCAGAATCTTAACGTCATTATCTACTTATTTATTAATCGATTGGTATCTTCATCTGTGGCCTGAAATTCCAAACTTCGAATATCATGACACCAAAGAATGTGTTCATGCATGTCTTCATAATCTTTCACTTCGCGTACACGTTTCTCCTCTTTATGACCTTTTTGTTTGGACTTTTAATTTTAATTTTAAATAGAACAAGGAATTAGGCGAGATTAGCTCTGCAATAATGGTCATCAGATGAACAAACATCCACAACCCTCAAAAGAGGGAAAAAGAAGGGAATGCAACACAAGGAATTTAAATAGTGAGACAAAAGTTTCCGTCATTAAACGAAGGAGTTTGGATCGCCTAATATATTTGAGTTTTGGTAAGGGATGCTATAAACTTTTGTGTGATGAGTAAAAACTGTTGTGATGATTCACGCATAATAGTTACCAAAAATATGAGAGAACATGCCTTATTACCAGTTGTGTGCACAGTGCACTGCACCATACAAGCAATGACACTCAAAAAAACTCTCCGAAAATAGACACATAAGTAATGGGTTAGAAAAACCTAGTATAAGTTGGTGACATTAAACATGATTACCCAAAAAAATATATTCATTACCACATTGGTTCCTATAATCTTTTAATTTATTCAAAAGTTGCCTACTCCATGGTGTATACCTTTTTGTTTTTACAACACATCACGTTGTGTGTGACATGACGTGTGGGTGTGACGTGTATACACTCGGGATAGGTAAGTATTTTTGGCATTTTAATCCAGCAAAGATGGTAATTGCAATGACCATAAGAGAGTGTTTGGAGTGATGAATTGGCGTCCAGCTTGTTGAGGGCGTGTGTGTTGCTGAATGGTCCGGACCACCGTACTTACTTTAATAAAAGCAGCCACATGGTGGTGGGGCTTGGTCGTGTGCTGGGTAAAAGCAAACTCACTGTAACTGTGTGTGGACCTCGTGGCAATATTACATTTGTTTTTATAAAATTATCAACAATCACTTTTCATGGTTGCCTTGCAGTTTGCTACCGCACTTTAACAGCAGCCACCATCAGCCAATTTGATACCACTAGTTCATCCCACATGCTTTATTAGTTTGAGAAAATTATAATATTCCCTTCAATATTTGTTATTTTTATTTATTTATTTTTGTTTATAAAAAAAAGTTTATAAGGAAATTGGCTACTCTCACCACCAGAGGTATAACATACTCACAATCTCGAGCCAGAAGGACTTATATGTGGCACCCAACTGCCAGATGTTATTGATGTGGATTTATGTAGGAAATTACAGATCGTACATCAATGAGGATTGCTGGCAGTAGGACTCGAACACTGGTTGGACTACACACAATACATGAACCTTACTAACTGAACCAACCATCATTGGTTATTTTTATTTAATTTTGATTAAGGCATTTCATAACTAAGATGATTATGTGTCATAATTTTTCTTTTTCTTTCCTCCTTGGATAAATTCTTATTTATGGATTTCCAAATCTGACCTTTTTCTTGTGGATAATGCTTTTTTGGTATACCAATGCTCCTCATTTTGTGAAGAAAACAAAATCATGAAAAGTGAGTAGCAATTTAAAAGTAATGATCCAAGCTCAAAAGTTTTTCTACGTAACCATATTGGTCCAGGCTGCAAAACTTGGATCATGGAAATTAGACGTGTTCATTTCATCTTTGTCTTCTAAATAAAGGTCGTCAAAATGATTACTTATAAGTTTGAAAAGATTTATTTTTAACTTTTGTTAAATTTCATGCATGCATCCAGAAACACAAAGTGGAAAAATTTGACGACTTTAAAATAATAATAAATAAATAAATAAATAACTCAAATTTGAATTCCCATTCTCGTTCAAAATGATACCACAGACAGATGTCCTGTCACGTTGTTTTGGAATTTTCTCCAATAAAATAGTGAATCTTCTGCAGCTTTCGATCCTTATTAGCAATACCCCTTTTTGCCTTTTTTATATAATAATATTTTAAGTGTAATTTCCAATCAAAAGCTTTGAGTGAGTTTGATTGTAAATTACCGATGGCTCATAGGGAAGGACTGGATGGATTTTTAGACTTACAGGCCTAAAAAGAAAACAAACTCAAATTTTTGTCTGGTGATGATTGGATAATTGATTTTGGGGCAGAGACATGAAGAGGAAAAAAAAGCCAGAACGTAAGGAAGAACCCAAGAAAGATAAATGAAAAAAAAAACTTTGGATTTTAACCATCCCGTTAGTTGGGTGTTAGGGTTTTTTTCCCTTTTTTAATTAGGAGTAAATTGGGTTTTTGTTTTAAGATAATGTGTCAATTTGTAAATCCATTATATTAAATTTTAATGAAGTATCGTATGGATAACAAAAATAAAACAAATCATGACAAAGAAAATTATAGCAGAGGATCCGAATCCCTATAGTAGTGTGATTCATGTTCATTTATGAAAGTAACGTTATCCTTTGTGCTCTCCTGTGCAGTGCAGCCTCTTTATTTTATTCCCTCCAGCCACCTCCCTCCCGTTACTTTTGTATATACCTAATTCAACCCATGTGACTTTTGGCCCTCTTTTCTTTTTTGTTGTCATTCAGCCCAACAAAAAAAAACATTTCAAATCATTAGATTCTTGAACTACATGAGTGTGGAAATTATTTATAATTTATGAAAAGAAAATAGGTATATGGCAGCCTCTGAGGACTTGGAACTTCTACTGCAAACCAAACCCTAAACTTGACCCGAATATTCTAAGCTGCTGATATTATTGCTGAAGATCAGGCCAAATGGAATTCATGAGGTACATGGGTTTCTTTCAGAAAAAGACGACATGTTAAATCAATGCACAAATTTCAGGGAATTTGGTTGAATTTTAAACCGGAAAACTACGTGAGTGTTTGCACAGATGAGGAAATGAATGAACACATAGTGTCGACATTTTTTCGAAAGAAAATAACGTAAGAAGGAATTTGCTTGGAATAGCTAGGTCATGAAAATGGAGACAGGACCACGCATGTACCTAACCGCAACCAGCCTTTTGGTTCACGCCTATTGTACCATCTCCTCGAAAGATCCAGATTCTGATGATATTCATGATAATTCATGCAAGTGTATAGCACTTTTGAGTCTGGCCACAAATTTTTGGCAATCACAGATATGACCCCACGCCCATGACTCTGTCTGTGGAGAAACTTCACTTGCATAATTGTTATTAATTTACGTGTTATAATATAAATAGACGATATAATTAAAAATTTCATAAATCTAGAATAAGTTAGTAATACATATTTTATAACATAAAAAAAATTAGTAATATTACGTGTCTATACGACAATCACACCAAAAATTAGTTACGACAATGTTCGCATGTGTACCAGTTAGCTTTAATTCTATGCGCCATCTTCTGTCATGTTCATGAAGATTGAAAGTGGCAATCCAATTTAATGGAGTAGACTTGTCGTGTGGGTTGGGCATGATTATATATTCATTTTGAAAGTACATCCCATTAATACGAGGGATTGGGCCCTATAGATATTTGGAGAGAGATCAAGAACAGTAAGAATATTATATCATAAGACAATCAATAGTACGTGGCTTGGTCAAGGACATCGGACAAGTTAATTTGTAGGCAGTTCCATCTGTACTGGAACAGTAATAGGATCCTTTTCATCTGTACTGGCCCAATTGTCTTTTTGTTCAAGTTTAATGAATCTTGCTTTCAGTCCAAAAAGAACACGTCAACTCAGATTCATGATCAGGCTGCCGTACTGGCTCCTTCACATATGAATAAAAAGCATATAAAAACCTGCAGGATAAATATGAAAATAAAAATGGAAAAAGAAAAGCGATGCAAGAACAAAGAGTAGCTGCAAAAACAGCATTTGTTGCTTGTTCCTATAGCAGTTCAAAACATGTCAAATCCACAGTAACAATTGAAAGGAGGTTTCATGATGAAGTGATAACATATGACCAAGAAATATAATATACGTACTTCTATACAGCATAATACGTCTGAGTTTGCACAGGAACCACTTTCATGACCCACACAAGCAGATCAGCCAGGCCAGCAGCAACTCAATTATAAAGCATGCATGATGATAGAAATATACCAGGCCTGATCAGGATCGTTAGCAGGGCAGAAACTGCGGCTCTTTCCAAGCTTGCGATTGTTTTGGCAAGTAATAGTGGGGTGGTTGAATGTGATAAAAGCGGAAAAGGCCCTTCAGTCTTGGCATCAAACGCATCCGGCTGCGACTTGATGATCTCTTCTTGGAAAGCTGGACAAGAGAGACACTTCAAAGAAACTTTATACTTTCTTCTTCGCTCTTCCCCCACGTACAGAGCCATATAACCTTCTGGAACTTGAACTTGATCTCCATGCTTATGCTTTTTGGACTTCTCAGAGGCATGCTCCAACTTTTGGTATGGTTTCTTGGAGTGGAAACCTTTGCCTGATTTTTTGCTGGACAAGACTTGCAGGGGTCATGGTGATGGTCTCTCTACGTGAAGTAGAAGGAGGGTTTCTAATTGGAAGCTAATTGGGCAAGAGAGAGTTAGAATTACTTGGAAGAGAAGGAAGGGAAAAGGGTTGAAGCAAGGAAAGGAAGCCATTATTGAAGCAAAGAACTTTCACTTCAGAGAGTTCAAGGAAGAAGAAGAAGAACCAGCAAGAAACGTAGGGCGTTGTGAAGTTTAAAGTTGGTAAAATGCATTATAAATAAGGAAAGAAGCCACACCCAAATGGTTGTGGTGGGCCTAGGGACGAGGGAGGTAGAAAAACAGTGCAAACCCTCGTGGCCATATGACAAACTTCCTTAAATTTTATATCACATCTTCGTATTCAATTGGGATTTTCCCTCCCTCCATTTTAAACCTTTGTCTTGTTGTCCGCGTTAGCATTTCGTAATTTAGATGAATTTATATGCGAATGTTTTTCTATTTAAAAAATAATTTGTTATTAATTCCTTTCTCATTTTGTTGATGAATTACTACCATCGAATAGATAGTTTATCGGTTGATTTTGCGGGTTTTCGGTTGAAAATACTAGCCATAAGGCAATATGACATTTTTCTAAAGTTAGGAAAAATCACACTTTTCATGGATGCTATCATGCTACCCCTTTAACAGCAACCCCTAGTCCCACTCCCACGTGCTACTTTTCACAAAATTAGAATTCTTCCACTACAACAAAGACAAGGGTACGTATAAATAAATTCAAACTTACGCCAATAAATAGAGAAGCTGACCACCTTGTGTTTGGACCTAAACTCAATTTCACTAGCAAACTTTTTCCTTGGTGATAATTGAATCATTCTGTTTAAGGAAATTTAAATACGACAAAGAAAAACAGGCACGGGTTCCATTTATTTGATGTCGTATTCGTCTAATCTGACCAAACGCTAGATGTCGTACTCCTTTTCACCGGACAACACATGATACGGTAAAAATGGTGCAAATTTAAAGAAGATACCGTTGCGTTGGCCCGCTTGACGGAGCCCAAATTTTTAAAAAAACTAGCCGTTGCAATTGCACTACTTTCGTTGATTTTCTCAATCTCTAAATCTATTTCTTCAGCCTCCTCATCCGACGAAACGTAAGAACCCCTTTTCGATCGGAAAGTTCAAATTTTTCTTTCTTGTCTATTGGTATTGGATAGAATCGTTACTGGGTTTGGACGTGCACAGTGATGGCTTCAAGAACTGCGACCAAAGACATTATCACTCTTCGTGGTTCCGCGGCTATCGTCAGCGAGTTCTTCGGTAATTTTATTGTCTATTGGATTTGACTGTCATTTGTCTTTGTTGGGCTTTGTTCGGTTTCTAAGAAATCTTCCGCTGATCTCTGTGTTTCGTATTTCTTTGCAATTCCTCTTTCAGGATATTCAGCGAACAGGTAATGATGACACCGGATCTTGATCTTTGTTCTTGTTCTTTTGTTATCTTTTGGGGTTTTTCCCCTTTTGGCGATTTACTTCTTGGATCTTGAAACTAATTGTGGTTGGATACATGGGTTTTTTCTTTTAGCATTCTGTACAATCGAGGAGTGTATCCTGAAGAAAGCTTTGTAAAGGTGAAGAAATATGGGCTGCCCATGTTGCTTACTCAAGATGAAGGCCTCAAATCCTTCATCGCCAACCTAACTGCTCAGCTTTCTGGTAAGTAATACCTATTTAGGGTTTTATCGTTTGGGGTCTGTTTGTGTCTAATTCTTAATTTAACAACTCAACTTTGAAAGTATGAAACGATTTATTCATCTGCACCAAATACAATTACATGGGTTGATTGAAATATGTTGTTCTTGGGTGACTGATATTTTATATTCTTCAATCTTGTAAAGAATGGCTGGAATCTGGCAAGTTACAGAGAGTTGTTCTGGTCATACTGAGCAAGGCGACTAATGAGGTTCTAGAGAGGTGGAACTTCAGCATTGAGACTGACAATGAGGTCGTTGAGAAGGGGTAATTCAATTCAACTTTGGATTTTTTTTTTAACTGTGTCCCTCATGTTGCATACAGTTATCAAAATTTCAATTCTTTTCTAAATCTCTTCTCACTGTTTTGTTTGGTTTGATTGAAGGGAGTCGAGGCAAAAGAGTGACAAGGAAATCATGAGGGAGATTCAAGCAATCATGAGGCAGATTGCTTCAAGCATTACTTACTTGCCGTGCCTTGATGAAGCCTGTAAGAGCACACTCATTCATCCAATTGAAAAAAATGGATTTCTTTGACCTTGGTGTTTGTCAGGTTCATGTGTTCTGTTCTATTGTTTGCTTTAGGTGTGTTTGATGTTTTGGCATACACGGATAAAGATCTTGTAGTCCCATTCACTTGGGTCGAGAGTGACCCCAAACTGATTGCAAATCCACAAATTGTGAAATTGCATTCCTTTGACACCAAGGCAAGTTCCAGAAATTGAATCCCATTTATTTAATCCATTTAGAAATCTCTTACCATAAAAAAAAAGGGAAATGGCTGCTGACAATATTTTTGTTTGCTGATCATGCAGATTCACAAGGTTGACACTCTAGTGTCCTACAAGAATGACGAATGGGATGAGCAGTAGCGGAAGGAGAGGGGAGGCGATATCCATGTTTGCTTGACTTTTGGAACTGTGAATCTTTTATTCACATTTGGTTGGAAAAACTAGTTGGAAAGAGAATGATGACTTGATCTTACTTGATCTTATCAGTAAGATCTTTTCCACCTTGGTGTTTGCTACCATTGGATGTTGTATAATTTGTATGTGGCGGGAGGAACTTGTGTTTGAGTTGTATTCATTTCATATAAGACAACTATCTGGCAGTTTTCATACATAAAGGATCTTGTAGTTTCCGTATTCTTCAAAATGCATTCGCATGATTCATGCTGAAAAAAATAAGTTTAATCTGTCCAAAAATGAAGCATAGCAGAAACATGAGAATCACGTATACCCAAACATAAAGTTTGAATAAAATGCAACTCTGCAATGCCAAGGAACTGTACATTTTATGGTATAGCTGTTTAACCTCATGCCTCATACAAAACGATATAGGGAAGATCTCCTCAAGAATTCCCCCACCAATTTGGAGAATGCAGAAGAACTGTTCTCAAGTAACTGAGTTGGAGAATCATACTCTAGAACCTTGCCTGTATGCATCAAAGAGTTGGTAAAATCAGTTCAAATCATGTCACCTAAATATCAATCATCCCTAAATGTTATTTCTGAATATTCTTTGCCACTAGATCCATGTTCCAATATTAATATGCTTCAACTATAGTATCTGCTAAAGTGGAATGTTCTATCCATTTTGGAACAAATCTAGAGAGTAGGTTATGCTAACAGTACCTTCATCAAGAACCAGGTCATCGTCGATAACTGTAGGAATCCGGTGAGCCACAGTGATCACTGTGCATCCACTCGTTTTTTTCCTTATCATCCCCTGAATAAGAAAATCTGTTGTTGTATCAATAGAAGCTGAAGCCTCATCCAACACAAGAATTTTCCTTTTCTTTAAAAGCACTCGTGCTAGGCAAACAAGCTGCCTCTGTCCAACACTCCAGTTTTCTCCATCTTCAGCTACTGTTTCAGTGTTTGAGTGAATTAAACAAGTTGGTGAATGAAACAAAAACTAATAACTGAACTGCTTATATGATTGAGTAGATTTCTAGATCTTCATACCAGGTCTATCAAGAAGCCTTTGGTCCTGCCTAATGATCTCCGCCATTCGACACTGAACCTGAGAGTTATTGAATCATATAAAACTTTGATCCTAACCTCCCAGATTTCTGGATCAGAATGTTGTTGCAAAGGATCCACATTGGTCCTCATGGTTCCTTGAAATAATGTTGGGTCTTGTGGAATAATGCTCAACCTTGACCTTAAGTCCTGCAGACCTATTTTAGCAATATCAACGCCATCAATAAGAATCCGCCCTCCTCAGGGTTCCACTATCCTAAAGAGAGCTCGGATCAAAGTGGACTTTCCACTCCCTGTCCTGCCCACAATTCCTATTTTCTTCCCTCCAGGGAAGGTGCAAGTGATCCCTTTGAGGACAGTCGGGAGAGCTGGATTATATTGCACACGAAGGTGTTTGAGTTCAATTTTTCCAGCCATTGGCCATTCAGGCACTGCTCTGGAGCTTCACTTGGTATATTTGTGAACTGAAGAATTCTCTCCACTGATATCATTTTGTTTTCAACATAGCATGTATTCCATATCACCCAAGCTTGCATGACATTTAGGTTCAAACCATAGGTAGCAGCCAAACCTGAAACCAAAGCAACATTGACAGTTAACTTTTAAAGCTTACAGTGTTCATATTTCCTCATAGCATAATTGTGAAATACTATGCGGGAGTAGTCATCAATCAAGTCCATTTTTTTCATCATAAACCTATTTTCTTGATTGAAACAACGAACTGTTCCAGCAACTGCAATTGATTCTGAAAAGTGATGCAGAATGGGAGCCTTTCGAATTTCAACCATCCTGGCGAGTTCTCTGGCAGTGGTAATGTAATAAGCGTGCAAAAAATATAAAACAAGATAAATACCTGTGCACCAAAGTACTTGAATATGAGCTCCAAGAAACATTAACTTCCAAATTTCGAAAAAACAATAAACCATTATATTCTTTATGTTGCATGATGCACGTTGGGAAATATGGTTAAGATTTTCCTCGTAGGTAGAAGGAGTTTGGTTACAATCGAAATGTTGAAACATGAAAAAATAAATTCAAAATGGGGTTTTCTTACTTGATACCACATGGAGAGTGCAATCACACCAAGGCAAAGAATGAAAACTTGCCAGGCCACTTGAGACATAAGGATGATGCTGCTTATTAGCTGGATCAGGGCAAATACCAATCCAGCTAATCTATACAGAATGTCGGTTTCTACTGTGCTTTGATCCGTGGAAAACTGCAGCCATTATTATTTTTTCAGACAGGAATTTGTTGACTAGTATAACTTGATTTATAGATTTATACTTCAAAGAGTTAATCAAACAGGAAATAAGTTTAGAACTCACCCTATTTAGTATTCGACTAGAAGGTGTGGAGTCGATATATGTATATATGTGTGTGTTAAATGGAATAATAGTTGGAATTGAGTATATCTCCCTGAGTCATGCGTGGGGAATTGATGGATTTGTCTACGCGCGTATGACATTGCCCCACGAGTATCGGGGATGCCCGAACCGTGTGGTGCGAGGATTTGCGTTATCGGGTTGAGTTTATTTCCCTGGGTTTTGCGAGGAATGCGTCTCAGGCCGACCATGGGTCCCCTGAGTTCTGCGAGGA